CACACACACACACACACACACACACACACACACACCTGATGGAGTCGGGTCACTTTGACACATCAGCTGTGTTTGTGTTGTTGATAACAGTCACACACCAGTAAACACAACATTTGTAAACATGTAATGCTGAATAATTAACACCTGAATGCATCATCATCATCATCATCATCATCATCATCATCATCATGAGATCAACACATAAACTCATCAAAACTGAATTATTTACCAACACACAATAAATATACATGTGACAACACACACACACACACACACACACACACACACACACACACACACACACAGGTGGAGGATGGAAGAGCCAGACTCACCAGTGGTCATGCGACATTGTTGCGTTGCCGTCGGTTACTGAGCATCTCATTCAGATCTCATACACCACTACTCTCTCCCACCCCCCCTTCTCTGTCCCTCCTCCCATAGCATCAGAGGTACGAGAGAGAGAGAGAGTGAGAGAGAGACAGAGTGAGAGAGTGAGAGAGAGACAGAGAGAGAGAGTGAGAGAGAGACAGAGAGAGAGAGTGAGAGAGAGACAGAATGAGAGACAGAGAAACAGAGTGAGAGAGAGAGAGACAGAGCAGCAGATGGAGGGAAACACTGAGAGGGAAAGAGTGAGAGAATAAATTCGGAACAATGGAGCGACTGATTTTTCTTCTTCTGTTTTTCCTGCAGCCTCCAGGTGGAGCTGTGACATCATGATGTCATTCTCACTGAATGATGACGCAGTCATGACGCTGCATCGACCAATCAAACACTCGTCCCTGACTTGACAGAGCGACGTGGTATCTGTACAGTTAACATCATAACGAGGTGACAGACGACAAAACAACTGTCTCAACTGTTACTGTTATAAACTACCAGAGGAGTCGCCCCCTGCTGGTCATTACACAGAAGACAGGTTTCAGACACTAAAGCAGTGGCTTCACTCTCTGGACTCAGTGTTTTCAGTGTTTGTTACTCACCGAGCTCTGAGGGCGCTGACGGTGGACTTATCAATCCTGCAGAGAGAGAGAGAGAGAGACAGAGAGACAGAGA